CGTGCCGAAATAAAGGGGTCGGGGCGGAGGGGCGTGGGGTGGTGGCGGTGGTGGTGGCGGTGGGTGGGGTGGGGGCGCGTAGGGGGTGCGCCGTGCCGAAATAAAGGAGTCGGGGCGGAGGGGTGCGCCGTGCCGAAAGAAAGGGGTCGGGGCAGAGAGGGGCGCGCTGGCTGGTGGGCGCGCGGAGGCGGAGGGGGCGTGCCGTGCCGAAATAAAAGAGTCCGGGCGGAGGGGCGTGCCGTGCCGAAATAAAGGTGTCGGGGCGGAGGGGCGCACTGGCTGGTGGTGCATGTGTGTGTGTGTGTGTGTGCGTGTGTGTGTGTGTGTGTGTGCGTGTGTGCGTGTGTGCGTGTGTGCGTGTGTGCGTGTTGAGTGTGGGGGTGTTGTGGGGGTGTGAGTGTGTGAGAGTGTGTGGTGGTGTGTGTTGTGTGTGTGTGCGTGAGCGTGTGCTTGCTAGCGTGTGAGTGTGCGTGTGCGTGTGCGTTAGCGTTTCGTGCGTAGTATTTGTGCGTGTGCGTGTTGGCGTGTGCGTACTGTGCGTCGTGCGTGTGCGTAACTTTTATTGTGTGTGGTGCGGTGCGTGCGTCGCGTATGCGTGCGTGCGGGCGTGTGTGCGTGTGAGCCGTGCGTGCATTGCGTGCGTGCGTGCGTGTGGGTGTGTGTTGTGTGTGTGTGTGTGTGTGTGGTTGTGTGTGTGTGTGTGTGGTGTGTGTGTGTGTGTGTGTTTGTGATGTGTGTGTGTGGTGTGTGTGTGTGTGTGTGTGTGTTGTGTGTGGGTGTGTGTTCGATGTACTGTACAAGCAAGAGCCCCATCTGTGTGTGTGTGTGTGTGTGTGTTGTGTGTTGTGTGTGTGTGTGTGTGTGTGTGGGTTTTATGTATTGTGTTGCGGGGGGGGGGGGGGTGGGGGGAATGCGGGGTTGTGTGCCGTGCCGAATAAAGGGGTCGGGCGCGTAGGGGGCGCACCGCGCCGAAATAAAAGGTTGTCGGGGCGGAGGGGGCGCGCTGGCTGGATGGGCGGGGGGGTGGGGCGGGGGGGTGCGCGTGCCGAAATAAAGGGGTGGGGGGGCGGATGGGCGTGCCTTGCCGAAAATAAGAAGTCTCGGGGAGGAGGGTTGGTGCACTTTTGTTATTTTGATTTTGCTGTCTTTTTGCTTTTTCCTTTTTCAATTTATTTTGTGTTTTTTGTTTTTTTGATAGGTTTTGTCTTTGATTTTTTTTTTTTTTTTTTTTATTTGAATTTTGGATCTTTTTTTTGCTGGTGGGTGCTGGTGGGGTCGGGGCGGAGGGGCGTGCTGTGCCGAAATGAAGGGGTCGGGGCGGAGGGGCGCACTGGCTGGTCGGTGCTGGTGGGTGGGTGGGTGCGGGGGGGGGGGGGGAGGGTGGCGCTGGCTGGTGGAATGTGTAGGTGATGAGGGTTGTCCCGTGCCGAAATAAAGTAGTCGGAGCTCTAGACACCCTGTGCAAGAGGATAATGTAACACAATACAACGTGTAGCAATTATGCAATCATTGGACACAGTGGATACGTCGAATTATAGCCTCCGCGGACCTGCCTCCGGCAACGCGTCACCTCCGGACGTGGATTCCTTTCGCTTCGCGGGTTGCGCGTCTGGGGCACGTGCAGTCCAGTCGTTGTGGGGTCTCTTGTGAGCATTTTGCGGCTTCTTGGAGGCCTCTTGGGGGCCTCTTGGCGCCGGAGCCAATGGCCGCGGCGTCTGTGACGGTAACCGTGGCCGATTATCTGAAGGCGGCGACGGAGTTCGTCGCGGCCGAGGCGAAGAAGGCAGCCGAGATGTCGGCCATCTCCGAGTTCCGGATGTTCAAAGACATCCAGAAGGACACCCCGGGCGCGTTGAAGAAGCTGACGGAGATGGTCGGAGTGGGCGCGGAGACTGCATCGAGCGCGCAGGTGCCGTGGTCGCCGCAGTCGTTCCCAGTGGACAGGCCGTTTCGGGTGAATCACATGCGGCGGGGGCCCTGAGGGGCGTCGCTGCAGCGAGATGGGGGGTGCGTTGGTTTGCGGTTCAGTCCGCGGGTCTCCGGAAGGGGATTTGCGGCGCCACGCAATCAGCTGCCACCAGGCCTGCCTCCCAGCAGCTTGGGGAGAGGGGTGGCATAAGGGACTCGCAGACATCGCTGACGACGCCGCCGTCCATGCCGAGGTGCTGGAGGAGCGGGAATCGTGGATCTGGTCCATCTACTGCCAGGCCAGATCTCGGCATATGCAGAGACCGGCGGGCAATTCGCACCATGAGGCAAGCGGCGAACGAT